CTCTCAGATAAAGCCTGCAGAGCTTCTTACTGCACAGATGTGGAAGCTGGAACCCAGGAGAATGATTTAGACTCAAACTCCAGGGTCGGGGAGAAACACAGGGTGCAGCCATGGGCCCAGTATGGGTCCCACACCTGTTTGCTCAGCAGCCCCACAGTCATACAGGGTCTTGTCTGATTCCATAAGGGCCATGAAAATGTTGACCTGAAATAAACAGATGGCCAGTTATTTCTCCAGCAAAAAGAAATGTTTTCATCTGGGATCAACAAAGTTTGCATTCAATGCCTGGAATCACAGTGAGCCACCTGCACGTCCTAGCATCCACAGGGATAAGAACTATTTTGCAGATGTGAATGGATGTTGGAGGAGGGGCTGTAGTGAACAAGGCACCCAGGGCTTCTCACTGGCTGAGCTGTGACCCCCCCCCCCTCACTGCCTGAGTACTTTCCAGGAAGAAAGAGGGGGTATTGCTTCTCCACGTTGCTGGACTCTGCTATCCTGGTAGGACATGAGATCTCACCATGCTGTCACCAAATTGTATTTAGTTGAGGTTTCTGTGTATTTAGTATTATTGTTATTTTCCCCAATTTATAAAATTTGATCAGTTTTGTTGCAGAATCTAGGCTGCCCTTGTCAGACAATGCTGGGTTAATTGGTTCAACTTCATGGTGAAATAAAAGTGAATCATGTGAATGACAAAAAATTACTTCACGTATTAGAGACACTCATTGGTAGGAAACTCCACACCAGATCTGGATTATGCAGGTTTTTTTATTTAAGCCTGGAGATGGAGCAGAGATCAGACTGTGGCTAAACCCAGAACCGAGAGAGAAATTATGCTGTTCCCAGCACATTCAGATGTTCTGAACAAAGAGCTACATGCAGGTGAGAATGTGTTATCAAGACCTCTCCCATGACTGAAGAATAAGGGATAAAAAATGGGATAATTTTCTAATATGAAGAGAATATAGGAACAAACCAAAATTCTGCTGATGGAACAAAAATATTGGAGCCTCCACCGTGGAAAACTGCTACTCTCCTACAAGGTTTAGGAATGACTCACCATAAAACCAGCCATTTCAATAGTAGGTGTATCTCTAGGTGAAATTAAAGCTCATGTTCACTGAAAGCACAGTGTGCAGGTGCTTGTGGGGCCTTCACACATGCTGTAAAGTGGAAACAAGGGCTAAACCCAGAGCTCAGTGCAGGGCCGTGTGCTGATGGCGTCTGAGATACTGCTAAGCCCCGCATTGCAGCCCTTCTCATGGGATCCAAGAAAACAGAGTCGCTCATTCATTACTGGACAATACGGGACCTCCATGTTTCCTCAGATGCCAGCAGTTTCCTGTCCCAGGATAATGTCTTGTTTGTGTCAGAGACAGTACTTTGGACAGAGGAGGACTTGGATGCAGATATTATACAAGACTGTGGGTCCCTGAATATATGTGCAAGTGCACCTGTGTGTGCATGTGTGTGTGCGTGTCCCTGTGCACAGATGGGAGCCCTGGTTATGTGTGTGATGATGGCTTTCTGGACTTCCATCATCCTTCTGAATTTGGACAATATCAGCTAATTTTCTTTATCAAAATCACCCAATTCTATAAAGAAATATTTAATAGGATTATTTATTAAAATCAATGTCTGTCTTCCCCATCATCAATGGAAACTCTATCCAGGATTCTGACATTAATTTTCATAGGCCAGTAGAGCATAAAGACACAGGGACAGAAGCCAAGCTAGCTAGTGGTCACTGGGGGAAACAATGAGTGGTGCCACCACCCATCCATTTCCTGATTCTGGGGTGCATGAATCAAGGCTGTGAGAGAAGAACAACATATGAGAGTAAATAGTTCACAGTCTGCCGGAGAACCTCACCTCAGCCCTGCAAGGTGTTACTACCCACCTGGCACTGCTATTGATCTTCTACAGGCAGCTTGTGTTCAAAAACCCAGCAGCTGTGGGATGGTGAGGAAACTAGGACTGGTGGATCCGCGCGCTCGAGCCGATTGACGCATTTCCTCTGCTGTAAAGTGAGTTCCCGATCAGAAGCAATGCTGGAGCTGGAATCCCGTGACCGTGGGATCTGAAAGTCCCTGGGTGTGGTTTTAGCAAAAGAATTGCATTCCCTGCAATCTAAGAGAGAAATTTATATCCAGTATAAACATATATTTCTAGTAAGAACAAGAGGTTAGGTGCTCTATGAAGGAAGTGGCCCAAAGTAGCCAACCTGCCAACAGGTGGTGGCTGAGCAGCCCAGGAAATGCTGCCAGTCAGGACATTAGGATTTCTCTCTGCAGCTGGCAGGAAGGGTCCTCACAAGTGACTGGACCAGGAGGACCCTGGTGAGTGGGTGTCCATGTAATTGAGCCCATGCACGTCCTGCATTCCTA